GTTTCTGGCATGAAGTTAAAAAAGAATGAATAAAGAAAACGTTACATCTTATTTAAAGGGCATAAAAACATCTGCTGCACGTCTCAGAGTCTTAAACTCTTCCCGCTGAGCTGTTTTTCTACAGACACCCACACAACAGACACCGAGCCCACAGACGTCCACATCCAGGTTCATTTATGCAGTTTATTAACAAATTAGTTTGTAAGCCACAGCTGTGGAAACACACATATTTTTGTACTGTAAATATAAAATATTTTTCATATTTTTTGACCTGAAGGAAAAACGTTTGGAGAGAAAGAGAAAAATATAAATAAATGACAGATTAGAATAAACTTGAACTAACAGTTCTCACCACTACAAAAAACATTTATTCTGACTGTTGCTTCATTAGTAATGAAAGAAAAGCTCTTTGTGAAACTGTTACAAAACTACACCTCTTGCATGCCGCGAAATGCTGTCTATAATGCTCATTTTGCATCATTTCTGGTGGACGTTTACTGTGGGCGGGGCTCAGACAGCTCCGCCCACCCAGCTTAAAAGGTGTTTTCACTCAATAAAAATGTACTGAGCCACTGAAATCACATCATTTACCTTGAACCAAAGCAAACAAAGTAAAATGCGAGTTTTGAGCAAACGGCCTGTTTGTTAACTGAAGGTAAGAACAGACAGAAGAAAGGTCGAACTAAGCAAAAATACTTATTATTATTATTAATACTTATTATAATTATATCATTATAGAAATTAACAATAAAAGTAATTAGTGAAAGTAAAAACTACCATAACCACCCAGAAATAGCAGAACCTTAAAAACGCCTTTATGTCCCTGAGTCAGTTTATCAATCAATCAATCAATCAATCAATCACGGCTTTATTCGCCACGTGCAGGTTGCCCTGCAGTGAAATGGGACCCCCAACCTTACACACACAACACAGACATCACATGGAGATACAGGTCGGAGATCGGTAGCATTACAGAAAAACACTGAAATATACACTACAATGGGAAAGTACAAGAGGAAAAAAAGTGCCATGGTTCCGAATAGGTAGATATCTTCAGCACTCAGGCTCACCCAAGCCCAGACTTCTCGTTGAGAAAGTGGTGTCAATTGCATTCAGGGACCAGTTGATCCAATCCATAATTCCTCTTTTAGGTTTTAGAGAACAGACTGTGAGACTAGACGAGGACACAAGAGGCTAAGCAGGGAAGCTAAGGGAGAGGAGGAGAAAAGTGCGACCGCCTTCGACAAGAGCAAGAGCAGAAAGGTTGGAAGCTTTTTGCATATTTGTGTTTTGGGTGCCGGCCTGAACACAAACTGATCTTTATAGATGCTGTGTTTTAGAATGGGAGGGAGAACCTTCAGTTTTCAGGCCCCTCTTCTGTGGAACCAGCTTCCAGTTTGGATTCGGGAGACAGACACTATCTCTACTTTTAAGATTAGGCTTAAAACTTTCCTTTTTGCTAAAGCATATAGTTAGGGCTGGACCAGGTGACCCTGAATCCTCCCTTAGTTATGCTGCAATAGATGTAGGCTGCCGGGGATTCCCATGATGCATTGAGTTTTTCCTTTCCAGTCACCTTCCTCACTCACTATGTGTTAACAGACCTCTCTGTATTGAATCATATCTGTTATTAATCTCTGTCTCTCTTCCACAGCATGTCTTTATCCTGTCTTCCTTCTCTCACCCTAACCAATCACAGCAGATGGCCCCGCCCCTCCCTGAGCCTGGTTCTGCCGGAGGTTTCTTCCTGTTAAAAGGGAGTTTTTCCTTCCCACTGTCGCCAAAGTGCTGCTCATAGGGGGTCATATGATTGTTGGGCTTTTCTCTGTATCTATGAAGCGCCTTGAGGCGACATTTGTTGTGATTTGGCGCTATATAAATAAATTGAATTGAATTGAATTGAATTTTATTATTGTGCTAACCTCATTAGTTATACCCATCCCGACCTCAGATACCCTCGGACAGCTCCAAAAACAGTGTTAAGCGTACCACGGCTTACACTTCGTTCGGTTATTTTTGAGACACAGTAATGATGCACCAGCATCTATTTCTGTCATAACCGCCGGTGTTCTGTTTTGGTGAAATATTCTGCACCTCATGTCTTTGAATCTATGACCGAGAAACCGAGTGAGAGGCTTGAATGCATCATTACCAGGCTGCATCATGGCAGACTCGCTGTGGGTCTTTAGCTGAGTTCTAAAGGGCAGGATATCGGAAACTGTGTCAAACCACATGCGAGTCGAGACCTTTACGTGAAGTTAAATTCGTTAAGAACGTCTGAACAGGTCCTAACAGGGCTGAGTCCTTGTGACAGACAGCACTGAACTGTAAGACTGAGTCCGATATACGGACATCCAGTCCTCAGAGGGTCGGAAGAAAAAGGTACAAAGATCAGGAGGAACAAAATCCCTGAGGAAATGTCAAAGGGACGATTCATGAGTGGAAGAATCGTTCCACCCACCGGTCACTCTGCTACAAACATGAACACACACACACACCGACATCGTCCTGTGCAGCAAACTCAAAGCGTGCACTGTTAATAAGGAGGAATGTCGCCTCTGGAGTACCATGGGCACAGATATTCTATTTCATTAATCGCTTGTACAGTCGTAGCGCTCGACGCACTCCTTTAGACCATAACAAATCAAACTGTCTTGACAATTCATTTACTTTGTTACTTATAAGAAACCAAAAACCCTGAAAAGCTGAACTCCAGGCAGCTGAGTGTGTCTGAGACGTGAGGCAGTCTCACTAATGTTTTGTGTGCACAGCTACCATCACTCTGAAGCCTGCAGTCACACAAATGTAGAAACTAGAGTAGATAAACTTTGTTCCAGCTACTGAAGCTCTCAGGTTTGATTTGTTCCTCTCAGTTAAGTGTTGGAGTTATGAAGCATCTCAAAGCTTCTGCATCACCGGTTCGCTGCTTTCTATCGCTCGTCATTGACACTCAGTCACTGTAATTACAAACTTTCCTTCACGTTCCCATTTTACTGTCACAGTGTTCACACTTAGTCCTTACAGACCGGAGAGATGATTTTAAAGCACAAATGCTTCCAGTGCTCTTATTTTATCCAGTGAAAGAACAAATCAAAACCTGCAATTTCCAAACCTCTGGTCGAGCGTGCAATCACAACTTTTATCCATTATCAACTCGAGGTTCTCCTCCACAAAGCAACAGCTGCTAACGAATGCAGACAGATTGCTTCTGAGCCCAAGAGCTTTTCATGCTGTGACATTCACACAAACTACAGAGAGGAATAACTCGAACGGAATTTATGTGTGTGTGTGTGTGTGTGTGTGTGTGTGTGTGTGTGTGTGTGTGTGTGTGTGTGAGCTGTAAAGGCGGGGCGCGTGTCTGATGTTAGAGAGGACACTCAGCTGTTTAACACTGTGACAACTGCAGGGGGAGAGATGACCAGACTAAAAGACGACAGAGGCTGAAGGAACAAAGTATCCTGGAATCCCAGGACTCTGCTGTATGGCTGCTATGGGCATGATCCACC